CTTTCTCAAGTATATGCTGTGTGCATAGTACAGTACATAGCCTTTGATAGGGAAGAGGGAATAAAGATACAGGGGGATGCACGGTACCATTTGGGTGTTCTCTGTTCTGATCCACAACATACTTAGGAACTTACTGAGGTAGTATGCATTCTTTCATAGAGCAATTAAACAGAAGAAATGACTGTGTAGTGAAATGAAAAAGAGATTTGAGAGATGGTTGGGATTTGTTATGGTCTAGACTCTAAAGAGAAGTTACCACGGAGGAAGGACTGTAGCTGAGGCAAAAGGGTGAGAAAGAGTTGGGTAGGTGGGTGGTCTGCAGCATGATGCAGTCAGGTACTTCAGTGCTCACTGGGAACCAGCATCTTTTGGTCTGAGCATGGTAGGTAGCTTGCCTGGCTGACTTGCTCTTGAAGAACAGTGGATGCAAGCTTGTGTGGAGATTGGCCACTTTTAGAATTGTGCTTGGATGAGTGTTGAAACCTGTATGACCTGTTACCTGAGAGGGAGGGTGGTACTACCTGGGACCTAGCCACTGATGGTTGACATGTCCCCAGGTGAAAGGGTAGATATCTTCTGTGTATAAGTCTTTAGACCCTAAGAACTACCTCATCTAAGACAGGAAAAATATCCTTGGTTAGAAAAAAAGCACTGATTGAGCAACTATTGTTAGGCATGATAGTATTGTATGTATATTATCTCATATAATCCTCTTAACAAAGCAGGAAAGTCTCCTTTCACCATCATTATTGCCCTCTTATGGATCATAAAGCAAAACTTAAATCACTTGTCCAAAGCCATCCAAAAGACAATTAGTTCTGGGACCACAACCCAGGTCTGCCCGATTCAGAAATAACATTGCTGTGCATTCAGACAGATGGAAAGAGATGTCTATTGCACCTTTATTTGCAATAACAAAAGACCAAAAATTAACTTAAATGTTTCAAGGCAAAAAATGCATGCTTCTACATAAAAATGAGAGACATATCAATGGGAGCAGGAGACATGCACACTTATCTATGTATGAAATATTTCTGGAAGGAGATGACTTCTAGAATATGAACTAGAAGACTGAAGGAGATGGGAGACTTCTTTTTCTCTGTCTTTCTACTGTTTGGATTTTTAAATTTTTAGAGTGTGTTTTTAGGAAACACTGAGTGTTTCTAAACCTTTAAAGACCAAAGTATATCTTGCTCACTTGGAGGAAATGATGCCCTAGGGTAGGGCCTTCTGGCCTTCCAGCAGGATTGCCTTACAAAGTGCTTTCTCATTTCATGGAAATCTGCCACAGCAGCTGTGGAGTGGTGCTCTCACCTGATGTAGATTGAGTTTCAGAATGAGTGCTTGGCCAGATACTACCATTGAATGGAAGAGTGAGGACCCAAACCCAAGTCTCATGTCCCCACATCCAGGAAGAGGGGATGGGGCTTCTTGCTATTCCCATGGAGGTGGCTGTGTCCATGCTATAAGGCAAACTTGTCAACAATGAAAGAGAAAATTATTTGTCTTGACGACAGGCACCATTTAGATCTTGGCTATGGGACCTAGGTCAGGTTACCACATCTCTATATGCTTATTTTCAAATGTGTAAAGTAAACATGATACCTGCCTTACAGGATTATAATGAGAGTTAAATGAAATTATATAAAATATATACAGTAATATTATATGAACAATAATTACATATAATAATATTAATTATAAACATTTGTGTGTACACACACACACACACACACACACACATACAGTTACAGCATTTAGCATGAAACCTGGCAGTGTTTCCCCCACCAAACAAAGAAAAACCCAGCTTAAATAATATAGCTAGTAGTATAAGCACCTGTGGCTGGCTACCTTCCAAGTTGGGGTGAGTAATGTATCATATCATAGGGTCCTTACTAGACACAGGATCTGCTCTGTCAACACACCTCGGTTCTTCTCTACCTACAATGGGTATTTGTCTTTTGAGGTGAGCCCAACATCACATGGCCCAGAACTTTTACAGGTGCTATAGGCCCTCTCCAGAGCATTCCAGTTGAAAGCTTTAGAACAAGATGAACACTCAGAAGCCTCCAATTTCCTCTATTGGGCAGGCTTCCTATGTGTGGAAGCTGCAGCCTCAGTGGTGCAATCAGAGTTTTAAATATGGAGGACAGGGATCTGATGCTACCTCAGAAGTCAAAACATTTTTGACCTATGAAACTAGAGGCTTGAGCTATATTGGCCATTGCTGACAAATTCAAAACACTAAAATTTCAAGGAATTACTAGTTTGATTAAATTAATATTTTAAATACAGTTTATGTTCTCAGTTCATTATTATTTATTTATTTACTTACTTACTTAATTTTGGCACTAGGGACTGAACTCAGGGACACTTACCACTGAGTTACATCCCCAGTCCTTCTTATTTTTTAATTTGAGACAGGGTGTCACTAAGATGCTAAAGCTGACCTCAAATTTGCAATCCTTCTGCCTCAGGGCCCAAATTTTCGTTTATAAGTATCTGCCAAGGTACTCTGAAGTCCATTATATTTTAAACTTTTCTCAGTCTGTTCTTTTCCCTGGAAAAATCTGTTTTTGTTTGTTTGGCTAAGAATTTTTTTTTTTAAACATAATGTTTTGATTGATGGAAATTTCCAGTGTCTTTTTATAGGGTGGTATTTCAGTGCCTTGTTTTTCCAAAGATTGAACTTGAAAAATAATAGAAGAGAATTACATTGCTGGTATTATTACTATGGGTAAAGATGTTACAAATATATAACCATTAAAGATCACAATGGATAACATCTTCACAAAAGGATGCTCAAAGATTGGGAACAGTGATGTAAGTTAGTGAGGATTCTTGATCCTTTTTAACAGTGTAACTTTGTGTAGGCAAATTTTTTTTTTCTTTTGGGGACAAAATTGATATACATGTAGCAGAGTAGAACACATTTTTTTTTTTGTCTATCCACTAGAGGCAGTGAATTGTGAGCAATTTTAAAATGGAAGGCTTTGCCTGACAGCATATGAAATACGCTCCACCAAAAAGTTCTGATTTACTCCTTGTATATTTACTCTATACATATTAGGTATGCATTTAACAAGTGAATATTGCTGCATTTTTTTGAATCTTGAAACTTATTTTAGATTTGTTTTTCTTTGCTTGCTCTAATGTTTGCCAGATTTTTACTCTTTACATAACCACACACATACTGTTAAGAATCTTCATGTGCAAGATTTTTTAACTAAGTCCAATGAAATATGAAATCCTGTTCATTCGAAAGTATGCAATGACTTTTTTTTTTACTGTTTTAGTGCCCATTCCTACATACTTCATAAATTCTTCACAGTAGTGCTTTGCTTCATGATTAACATGAAACTTATTTGTATTCTCTAATAATATTCCACTATTAGGCTCTAATTTCACCTCCTATCTTATCCCTTAGTCAAGAGAAATGTAGTTATTTATCAATGGAAATATACTGAAAGTTCATAACATAATATCTCTTTTCTTTTGGAGACAAAATTGAAGGAAGAAAAATAGAGGCACTATTTTAAACCTCTATATGACCTATGAGTATATTCTTAGTTTAACTCCCTTGCTTTTTTGTTTTAAAAAATGCCCAACCAGAAATGAGGTCATCTCATACAGAGTATATTGCCTCTTCCAGGTGAATTGAATGGGTTTCCATGCTATTTAGATGTCTGGGGATTTTATTCTTTCACTTATTTGACCACATGATGTGCAAAGCATGTAAAATGTACACACTATGTGAATAGTTGTTATGCTGTATTGTTAAGGGAGTGACAACAAGGGGAAAGTCTGTACGAGTTCAATACAGAGGTAGTCTTTTTTTAAAAAATATTTGTTGATTGACTTTTATTTATTTATTTTATTTATTTATATGTGGTGCTGAGACTTGAACCCAGTGCCTCACAAATGTCAGGCAAGTGCACTACCATTGAGCCATAGCCCCAGCCCGGAGGTAGTGTTTTTTAAAAATGTTTTGGATCCATAGTTGGTTGAATCTGCAGATGTGGAGCCCACAGATATAGAGGGCCTACTGTACATAGTGCTTAATTGTTTGTGGAACTAATATTTGTATAAATTGTACTATACATAATATCTATATATAATAGAAAGTATAAGAAAGTGCTTTGGAAGTTGAGATGAGAAAAATGACACTTCTAACGTAAGTATCTGGCAAGGAGTGTCTTTTGGGGACTTCCAGAAATGGACAGAATTAAGGCAAAGATGTTAGAACTAGTTTTCCAGCAGAGGCAGGGGTAAAAAGAGGAAAAATTAACTTCATGGCAAAGCAAAAGGTTTGACAAAAGGTTTGACATGGCAAAGTAAAAAGTTTGACTAGTTCAATGACTGTGATGGCCTGGCATATGACTTCTCCAGATACCCAGTTGTTCCCATTGATATGGTAAGCTATCTTAAATAGCAGCATCATTAAAAAAGATCTACAATGGCCAAGTTGGTGTGGAAGATAGTCAAATGAGTGGATCTGGTCACAAAGAAGGTGTTCCACAGGGTCATAGCATTGGCTGGCATACCACTCACAACACCAAGATATAGATGGCAGATATCAGGTTGGTACTTAAGGAACTTTGCAGGTACCCCATGGTCACATTATTCACATGGAGAGTTGAAGCAGATTCATCAAACTTTTCTCCTCATTAACATGCTTAAAATACTGAAGTATGAAGTATTTTTTAAAAATAATTATTAGTACTTTTTTTAAAACACCTTTATTTTATTTGTTTATTTTTATGTGGTGCTGAGGATTGAACCTAGTGCCTCCCACATGCTAGGCAAGTGCTCTACCACTGAGCCACAGCCCCAGCCCCAATTATTAGTACTTTCGTAACATTTGATATTTGAAGCATTATTTCTTAGAAGGTAAAAAAGTGGAGCTAGAGAATAGAGCTCCTTGCACTTTGCATATGTTGTCCTAACTATGTGTGTTTTCACAGATAGCTTTCCATGATCTTAAAATGATCTCACAACTCTTAAGAAGTGCAGTGATCTACAATTTTTGACATGAGAAAATAAAGGAATGGATCTAGGCAACTATTTAGGCTACTCAGGCATAGAGCTATGAGATAGGCACCATATAAGCCATCAGTAGTGTTGTAGTAGTAGGTCGCATGGTGGATGATAAGTATAATATTGCTTGGAGCAAAGCAAATGGTAAAAATCACAAGGATAAGGAGACTTGCCTTGATATAACTCAACCATCTATGATCATATGTTCCAAGTTTGTGGATGATGTTTGTATAGCAGTAGATTATAACCACAAATGGAATTAAGAATCCAAAAAAAGCTAAGGAGATAAAGTAGTAGAACTGGAAGAGTGGTGAAGACTTCTCACATGTGTTGTAGACATCATGGCAGGTGGTGATATCCAGCTGGGGAAGATAATATTTCTGCTTCATAATGAAAAATGGCAGYATATATAAGAAAACCGTTATCCACACCAGTCCACATGCTAGCAAAAAATAGGTGCGCTTGGGCAGTCTTTGGTATATGAAAGGATGGACAATGGCCAGGTAGCGGTTAAGGCTCATGCAGGCAAGGAGCAGAATGGAACAATATATGTTACCATAAAAGATGACTGTGATGGCCCGGCACATGACTTCTCCAAATACCCAGTTGTTCCCATTGAAATGGTAAGCTATCTTAAATGGCAGTGTCATTAAAAAAAGAAGATCTGCTATGGCCAAGTTGGTGTAGAAGATAGTCAAACGAGTGGATCTGGTCACAAAGAAGATATTCCACAGGGTCACAACATTGGCTGGCACACCAATCACAAATACCAGGATATAGATGGCAGGTATCAGCTTGGTACTTAAGGAACTTCGCAGGTACCCCATGGTCACATTATTCACATGGAGAGTTGAAGCAGTTTCATCAGGGCACTTCATTTTTACAGTTGTGGTGGCTCCTGTCCAGCCTTCTATGGCAGAGGGGGGAAAATCTTCAAAAGAATTTGGGGGAAATCCATGAAAGGTCTTAATAGTTAGGGTTGGTTTTACCAAGTTGTCTGAAACATTTTCCTTGCCTGTAATGGAAATATTAACATATGATTTAGTGGAAGGCAATATCATAAAACTAAGTGCTTTGTACTACATAATTTCTGTAGTTGTAAAATTTAGGGTTATTTTTTATTTTTAAAAAACCATTATAGATCAAGCAATCCTCAGGCATGTATTTAGTACATATAATATGCCCTAGAACCATGTTATCCATGTATGAACATAAACTAGATGGCAGCTCCTTGCCTGTAAGAAGTTTATGATGCTATTGAAAGAAACAAAAATCGGCCAACAGAACATTATAGGCAAGTGCTATGTTGACTATAAGCTCTATAGGTATTCAGACAATAGCTAACAGATTTGGGCATTTAAACAAAATGTCAAGGAAAAGACAAAACTGAGTAAAGATAACCATGGCTTATAAAGAGATGGAATTTATTTTTATTTATTTTTTTTTTTTTTAGAAAGAGTGAGAGAGGAGAGAGAGAGAGAGAGAGAGAGAGAGAGAGAGAGAGAGAGAGANTATTTTTTTTTTTTTTAGAAAGAGTGAGAGAGGAGAGAGAGAGAGAGAGAGAGAGAGAGAGAGAGAGAGAGAGAGAATTTTTCCAACATTTATTTTCTAGTTCTCGGCGGACACAACATCTTTGTTGGTATGTGGTGCTGAGGATCGAACCCGGGCCGCACGCACACCAGGCGAGCGCGCTACCGCTTGAGCCACATCCCCAGCCCCAAGAGATGGAATTTATAAATAGATTAATTTTATCCTGCTGGTGATGCATGGGCAAAGGCATAATATAGGCTGGCATAGGATCTGGGAATGCGAGATGCTAGTTCAGCATATGTTTATTGTATGCTTATGTGCCAATGGTATAAAATTTTCAATGAACTCCATAAATACAGAAGTTGCATGTACATCTTTGAACAGAGGAATGACCTTTGTGCTAGAATAATGGTACTCCTACACATAAAGATCCCACCTGCTAATCCCTGAACCCTCTATGAATATGTTACCTTATATGATAAAGGGATTTTGTAGGTATAAATAAGAGACTTGAGATGGGAAGAGTGTTCTGGATTGTCCAAGCATGGGCTAAATGTAAGAGTCCTTATAGGAGGGAGGCGAGGGACATAGAAAGATAATGTGTGCTACTTGGCTTTGAAGATGGAAGAAGGAGCCATGATCCAAGGAATACAGGAAGTTTCTAGAGGCTGAGAAAAGGCAAAGAAGCATTCTCTCCTACAGCCCTGCCAACACCTTGATTTTAAGACTTCTGAGCATCAGAAATATCAAATAATAAACCTGTGCTTTAAGCACTAAATTTGTGATTATTTGTTATAGCAGCAATAGGAAGCTAATATAATCGTGATTTTGACCTCATGTTTAAGATGACTTTGGTGCTACACATACTAGAGAATAGATTGTAACAGGAAGAAATTGGAGACAAGGGGGCCTGATAGGAGGCTGCTATTATTCAAACTTTAAGGAATGGTGATTAACCGAACTAGAGCAAACAACATGGAAAGGTGGTGAGCAGAGCTCACAGGGACTTCACATCTGACAGCAGTGGAAGAGCAGGAGGCCAGCTGACTCAGAGGTGCCTACTCTAGATGACTTGACAGAGGAGGATGCATTACCTGAATTTAGGACAAGAGACAAGAAGCAGATAAGGGAGAAATTAAACCCTGTTTTTAGAATTACTGAGGTGCAGTTGCTGATGGAATGCTGGTATGTAAAATGCCAGCAACTGGTTAGATAACCAGATGTGGAATCCAAAATTCCAGGAGTCCAAATTAGAGGTAAGAATTTTTTTAGTCTGTACAGAGGCCATCATTTAATTTAGAAGGAGTGGTAGATATGGCCTACCAAGAGATGTGAGAAGAATCCAAAGGCTGACTAAGGAAAATGCCAGGTATTAAGGGGAGAGAAGACAAAGGAAGAAAATCAGAAAATGAAATTGTTAAAATAACTTAAGATATTAGAAATGAATATTTTAAAAGGAATGAAACATATAAACTATATGCTATAAGTTTTTGGCATTACTTGGCATGTTGACATTAATAATCCTAATTCTTGAAAGGGCAATTTCAAAAATAAATAAACCTCAATATGTAAACCTTAATATGCAAATAAGTTTCCCATAAATTCATTCTGGATGTTTATAGAGAATACATTCTCTCTGATTTATAATATGACCTTCTAGATGTATGTGCCTTTTATGCCTTATAAAAACCTCTTGTCAATTTAAAATGCCAGTACTCTGCCAGGTATAACTCACCACATGACCTCTGAATTTCTTTGTGTTGAATACTTGAGGTTAACTGTGGAAAGCAGTATGGAGTTTCCTTAGAAAATTTGGAATGGAATCACGATTTGACCCAGTTATCCCACTCCTTCGTCTATACCCAAAGGACTTAAAATCAGCATACTACAGTGACAAAGCCACATCAATGTTTATAGTAGCTCAATTCACAAGAGCCAAGCTAAGGAAACAACCTAGGTGTCCTTCAACAGATGAATGGAATTTTTAAAATGTGGTATATATACTCAATGGGATATTACTCAGACATAAAGAAGAATGAAACTATGGCATTTGCTGGTAAATGGATGCAAATAGAGAATGTCATGCTAAGTGAAATAAGCCAATCCCCAAAACTAAAGTCCATATGTTCTCTCCGATATGTGGATGCTAACCCACAACAAAAGATGGTGGGGAGCGGAAGAATAGAAGTCCATTGGATTAGACAAAGGGGAATGAAAGGAAAGGAGAGAGGAATAGGAAGAATAGTAGAATGGATCAGACATAACTTTCCTAGTTTTGTTTTTAAATACACAACCAGGGTGACTCCATATCATATACAACCCCAAGAATAGGATCCTAATTAGAATGGGTTATGCTCCATGTATGGATAATATGCCAAAATATGTTCTACTATCTTATATAACTGAAAAGAACAAATTTAAAAAAATATTGAAGTTAGTGTCTACCAAATTGTCCATCATTCAGAGCCAGTTGCTCTTACTGTTATAATCGCTAGTGGCTTCCTCCCAGGGGAAATTGAAGCCTCCCTTATAACTCTGAGATTGCACAAACTGATTTCAGTGTGTAAGATGGAGAAAATGTGATCTGAACAACTGGAGACCTAAAGGTGATCAGATGTCACTAAAGGAAAGGTGGATTAGAGAAAAGGAAAGAATTTGGAGGGCAGCACTCTTCAGGGCCTGTGTTTAGACATGATCACTGAAGGGATGTTGTTAGACATTTGAACTCAATGCACAAATCCTTCATGGGTTTTTTGTTTTGTTTTGCATTTGGTAAAAGATCTTGGGTCTTATGTGACCTAAGGAGAGATAGATTCCTGTAAAGAAAGATAAGCAGAAAGCTAGAGAATGGTAACTGCAGACCATGCTGTACAAGAGATTTCCCCTCAGGATCTGATAAGAGAGCTGTTAAAACCAAGTGTTTGTTAGTTTTCAGAAAATCCCTGTGATTAAGCAAAACATGGTGCCTGTGGGCATGCTCAACAGTGACTCATTGGTAGAAAAGTTGATTCGAATCCAATTTTCCATGAGAATTCTGGATCTGATTCCACTTAATAAGTCTTTAGTCCTCAGAGCCTAATCTTAAGAATAGTGCTTATCATTAAGTTTATTTTTTAAGTTTATTTGAATTCTTTGTATATAGGTTTCCACTTGGCATCATGATTGTGGAATGATTTCCACCTGGGAAAAGGCCTTGGAGAGGGGCTAGTCCACAGGGAACAGATTTCCCCCACTATGGATGGGTTCTCCCTTTACATCTTCCCCTGACCCTGTAAAAGAAAACAAACGCAGTGCCCTTTACTTTGTCTTTTTTTGTGTGGGTGTGGATGGACACAATACCTTTATTTATCTTTAGGTGGTGCTGAGGTCAAACCCGGGGCTTCACACATGCTAGACAAGCACTCTACCACTAAGCTACAACCCCAGCCCCACTTTGTCTCTTCTTAAGTTCCCTATTTCACTTTCACCAAACCGTACTACCGTCTTTGAAGGAACCTCCCTCATCAACCTTGTTTCTCGCTGCAATGCTGCTCAACTTTTTGGTTCATTGATCCCAGAGTGACTACATGTTTATCCTCTCAAGTGCTACACTATCTGCAAGTTCCCTTGGCTCTCTCTGTGGTGACCTAATGACCTCCAACTCTCAATTTAAGCAACATTCCTTTACTCAAGGTTTTTGTGCTGGTGGTGATGGTGGTAGTGGTTTAATTTGAGGTGTTTTATGCCTTGTACCCCTACCTTTCCCACTCCTACCAATGTAGTGGAGTGTGACCTAACAGTAAAAAAGTTGTGGATATAGCTCCATCCCAAATCATGGATGGAACAATGAACTTCAGAACAAGTAGCGTAGCAGGCTAGCATTGTGATGGGTAAAACAGAAAACATTCATGGTAGCATAACAGTATTTGGAAACAGTATTTCTAAAATTATAAAAATTCATTTATAAGGGTAGAGAGGACTCCCTGGCACTATTCCATTTTGGAAATACTAATGTATTGGCATCACAAGCTACTAAAGGCAAATGACCCTTTCAGGCAATATTCTTGTTTCCCCCATTTGTGTCTCACCAGAAAGTATAAACACAGGATTTTTTTTAATCCCTTGAAAAAGTGCTGTCTTTCCAAATCAGAGGAAATTCCTAAGGAACACAGAACTTCTCACAGAGAAAGTTGTTTCTTGACTTAATTATAGTTGTCTAAAATCTTGACGAGGCAACACTTTTAAATATCAGGAGATATTAGTCTTTGATGAAATTTGACTAGTGAGCCAGGTGCGGTGGTGCTCACTTGTAGTTCCAGTGGTTCCAGAGGCTAAGAGGATCAAAGCCAGCCTTAGCAAAAAGCAAGGTGCTAAGCAACTCAGTGAGACCCTGTCTCTAAAATACAAAATAGGGCTGAGGATGTGGCTTAGTGGTCGAGTGCCCCTGAATTCAATCCCCAGTACCCCCCCCCAAAAAAAAAAATTGACTAGTGCACAAACTGTAGATTCTGACTTCCATGATCATACCTTTTGATAACCAAGATCAGACTCTACGGTTTTTGTCAGATGCAAAGATTAGGTTCACTTGGCTTTTGTGATACAAACAAGTTCCCCACCCTCCTACTCCAGAAGAAAAGAGCTTACCACTTCCACAAAACATGGGTGACAGAAGAAGTAGTCCAGCAGCTGTAAAGATGAGGGCTTTCATTTCAGTGACCTGAGTCCAATTTCTCTAAAGTTATCAAATGTGTAAAATCACAGAGCACAGTTTCCCCTCAATTCCGTATGTTAGTAACAAAAGCTTGTCCTGTCCCTAGAAGTGTGCTACCCTGGCCTGTGCCGGCAGGAACTTGCCTGAGTCCTCTGCAGGGGAAGGATATGACCAACTCAAAGTTTCAGTATGCATGACTCAGGCTGAGCTTCTGAGCATGTTTCGTTATCCATGAAAAAAATCATTTAACTCTTACCCATACCCAAAAATCTGGTCTGAACAGATGCTGTAATTTTCACCTGGTGTGTTTATGTACATTTTTTAAAAACAACAGAAAGTAGAGAGCCCTTTATAAGAACTAAGCTGAAAAACAGATGCAGAGCAGCAGTTAGTTTTGAAACTGTCCCATATCTCATTTTACTCACTTTAAAAGTTACTTTGTAGTTGAACAGTCAGAAATTATCCTTAACTTTATTCTGCCAGCAATTTCAAATTTTAAGAAATAAAAATTGTTTAGGTGCTTGATTTCTTTGAAAATTCTGTGTTGCCAGACATAGGGGTGCAAGCCTATAATCCCCGAGGCTCAGGAGGCTGAGGCAGAAGGATTGGGAGTTCAAAGCCAGCCTTGGCAACTTAAAAAGCTCTAACCAAGTTAGCAAGACTCTGTCTCTAAATAAAATATAAAAAGGGTTGGGAATGTGGCTCAATGGTTAAGTGCCCCCAGTTCAATCCCCAGTGCCAAAAAGAAAAAAGAAGAAAATTCTTTGCCAATGTCATATTGGTCTGAACTTGTCACCAGTGGCTGGCCAGAACTTACTTTTATATTTGTTGTTGTTTGGAGAAAGAGGAGTCACTTGTTTGCCATAGTTCATGTGTTCTGAGCCATATAGTAACTCTACAGGGTCACATAACTAGAGAGACCCATCCCCGACCAACACTATTTGGTTGAATTGAAATCATAATGCAACATTGAAATTCAGAGGACTCCATAAGTGTTGGTTATACAATAAGATTTTTAAAATTGTGATAACATATACATAAGTAAAATTTTCCATGTTAACCATTTAAATTCATAGTTCCAATGTGTTAAGTATATTCACATTGTTGTACAACATATATTAAGCTTTCATGAGTAGTTATTTTCTGGAGAGTACAATTTAATGTACAATAAAAAGAAAGAAAGAAAAAGCTGCACTATAAATTTGCCTATAATTAATAAAATGATTAAACTCTAAGCCAGCCAGCCTACTGGCTATAAAAATATGGCAAAATCAGAAAATGAAATTTTGTGAGACTTAAAAGGTAAGATAAACTAGGAAGGAAGTGATAATATGTATAGATATCTTAATTAAGTTTAATCAAATCAAGATTTTTACAAAGATTGATGTTTCATACTTCAGCTAAATAATATATAACACAAAGCGAGATTGAAGCTATTATATGGCAAACAATAATTTTTAAAAATCATTAAGACATGAAGAAGTTTTGTTGYTGTTTAAAATGTTTCTAAGAGTCATCTAAATTCAGGAGTTTATGGCTTGATTTGCACATGCTCTGGTCATTTAATTCATTTGTAACTCACATGTTGAACCTGGCTGTTTAGATGAGGGTGGTGACCTAGCCATCCCATAGTCTTTTCAGCCTTCTAGTGAGTAATTGAAAGGAGACTCTACATTTTATTGTTGTAGTTGTTGGTTTGGGCAGTGCTTAGGGGATGGAACCCAGGGTCTCACATATGCTAAACAAGTGTTCTATCACTGAGCTATACCTCCAGCCCAGGATATCACTTTTACCTTGAATTTGTGTTTAACTTAGTTCCGCACGTCACACTTTAAACTGTTGATTTTGATTTGGCTTTGCAAAGTCTTGCTTTAGATTAATTTATAATATTTTAATCTTTTAAGAAGGATTATAGGATTGTGACTATGTTCTCTTCTGGCAGAAGTCGGAAGTGGTGCATCTTCTGCAGTAATCAGTTATAAATGAACATAATATCCTTCAAGAAAACCCTGAGATGGACATAAATGAACTTGTATGGAACTCAGTTTATAGGCTGTTCCTGGGGAGTGTTGGGTCTCTTTGGACTTAGAAATAGAGAACAGGTAGTCCAGTTTCTGTTGTCTCCTCCTCCTCCTCCTCCTCCTCCTCCTCCTCCTCCTCCTCCTCCTCCAGGCTTCTCCTCACCTTGCTTCCTGATTGACTATAACCCATCCAAAGTTTCATTTAGAAAGAGATGAAAAATACTAACAACTGGTGGCTCCCATGTGACAGCCATAACTAGAGATGATTGAGGAAGATATACCACGCCTTCCCCAGAACTCTATTAACAACAATGATGCAAAAAGAAATGGCCCATATTTTATCTCATTTTCAGAGCCCTTGGCACATGCAAGTTAGAAGCCTACCAGAAAAGCTGGTAAATGTTACTTCTTCTTCCTCCCCCTCCCCATCCTTCTTGAGTCCTAAGTGATGGAATTGGTTCTGTATGGTTGCAATACCAAGTCACTTGTTTCCATTTGTCACAGCCTTGATTCAGAATTTAGAACACAGCACTTAATCCCTACACATATTTAAATGTTCCCATTTTTTAAGTGGAATGTCATGTCTTTCCTGAAAATATTTCATTTCCTTGAATAAAAATTTCTTGCCATCTTGGATAAGTTTTTATAAATCTATCCAGGAATCCCATTTAATAGATCCCAGCACCACATTTGTAGCAGTCTCATCAGGACCAACCCAAAGGAAAATAGTGAAAATCATTCAGTACTTTTTCATTGCTGCTATCACTTGCTTTCAAATGCTAGCCTTAACTACTCTTTTCTTCTGTTGCAACTTAAGACCCCTACTATTGAACTTCTCCTTGATCATGTGTCTACAGCTAAGATTGCCCCAATCATAATTACTTTAAAATATGTATTATAATTATTTCTTGACACATCTGTCTCTTCCACTAGACTGTCAGGTCCTTGAGAACATTTCTCTCTCTCTCTCTCTCTCTCTCTCTGATAAATGCTGAATATCACTGTGTTTCCCTTAAATTTAAAATATCCCTTGGCACATAGTTTGGAACTGACGGTTTTTGAATGCTTAGGGGAGAGAGTATTTGACTAAGTAGCCAGTGAAGACTTTCTGGAGAAGGAAGCATTTGAATTAAGGCCTGAATGATGAGGGGGAAAGAGCAGCCACACAGAAAGGGTGGAGTGCTGTAGTCTGAAGGAAGCTGGTGTGAAGTTCTGGAACAGGGAAGCAGAAGGGTGTGAAGTGAAGCTAGAGGAGTAGGCAGATCATTGAATCCCCAAAGCCCATGAGAAGAGGCTTTGTGCTTTGTGTTTCCTTCCAACTGCAGGGGAAGGTTGGGAGAGGTTAGCTGATGAGTGGGATCATGAGACATATGTTTTGAAGATATCCTGTGGCTCTATGTCGAGAACCACCAAGGGACAGAGCAAATTTGGAAGCAGCAAAAGCAAATAAAGGGACCAGTGTAGCTGTCCACTTGAGAGACAAGGGTAGGCCAGACTCAAGGGAAGGAGCAAGGAAGGGAGACGTGGTCAGATTTGGACTCTGCTCATTAATAGCATGTGCTTTATATGGCAGGACTTGATAACTGTTGAATGAGAATTCGTGGAAGTTATAATAAGATGACTCTGAAAAGCGGTTCTTGATTCCATCCCATAACCACCTCTGACACTTTTCCTAGGATCTTGAGAGTGCTTCCAAAGTTCTTTGGCTGGATGAGATACAGCAAGCCATCGACGAGGCCAACGTGGATGAGGACAAAGCAAAGCAATGTAAGCACCTGCAGTCTTTTGCTTGTTTTTGGAGCTATGCCTGAAGTCATATAGCTTTTCATTCCTGGGATAATTTGGGCTCTCTTACTAAGTTTCAGTTCTTAGATGTGTACTTATATAAAAATACGATTTTGATTGCATATTTTCAGTGAGTAACTACTTTTCAGAGTCATCTTATTATAACTTCCACGAATTCTCATTCAACAGTTATCAAAATTTGATGATGTTGCTGAATAAAATCCAGGAAATTAAAAAAAATACTTTGTATGTTCTTGAATTTTGTAACTGAATCAAATCCTTTTTTTTTTCTTAATCCCTAGAAAACTAGCCCATACCTGCTCCATAAATGAGTATTCTCTTCCATGCCCTCCACTGCTAGGTTTTTCAGAGACACAGACTAATAGGGACTGAGGTAAGAGGGTGTACAGGTATATCTTTTTAAGGCAGGCTGACAGGAGCCAGGCCCTTATTCACTAAACATAAATGGGTGTGGTTACTGTCATGACCCCAGAGTCAGAGCAGTTTATTGGAATAGTTTTGGAGAACTATAGAGTTGTGCAACTGATCATGGTATTCCTAGAATAGAAATTGACTGGTAGTTTACTAAATTCTTAGTCTGTACAAGTATGTGTTAGTCAGCTTCTAGTTGCTATGGCCAAAATATCTGACAAAAACAACTGAGAGGAGGAAAAGTTTATTTTGGCTCAAGTGTCATAAGGGTAGTCCATGGTAAGCTGACTCCATTGCTTTGGACTCAAAGTGAGGCAGAATGTCATGGCGGGAGGACATGGTGGAAGAGTTCTACTCCATTTATGGTGTCCAGGAAGCAAAGAGAACAAGGGAAAGGGGCTGCGGGGAAGATGAACCCTTCCTAGGCACAATCCCATGATTCACCTCCTGCAGTAATTCTATTCAAACTAGAATAGACTAATTAGGTTACAGTTCTCACAATCCCATCATTTCACCTCTGAACATTTCTGCATTAACCCAGGAGCTTTTAGGAGACACCTTATAACCAAAGCATGACAAAATAGAAGAGTTCTAAGTCTAACTTGAAATATAAAGAGAGTCAAAGCCTCTCAATTCCCAGACTGGAGCTAGTTCGCAAACTCAAAAACCGTTTGAATGAAGGAGGAGACCAGGTCCCCTTGAAGAAGTATGACACCACACTGCCCCAAAATTATACTTTTAATCTTTCTATCATCCTTC